TGTGACTTGTGAGGTATGAAAATGGGACAGGTAGCAAAAACAGGAAAATGATCATCAGACAGATACATAGAAATCGGTGTGAAGGTCTTTCCTTGAATCCTGATGATATTTAATGTGATAGAATCGTATTAACCACAGCTCATCACCATATCAGGGGCTTGTCTTCCAGACAGCACAATCACATAGAATAAATTAGCCAATTATGACATATTATTAAACCTATAAAGTGGATGTTATTTCTTTACTTCAACATGACTATTGAAATCAAATTCCACTATATCCTTTCTGAATTTATTTTATTATTTTGATCGGGGGGCACAGCTGGCCAGTATGGGGATCATATCCTGGACCTTGGTGTTACCCAACCATGCTCTAACCAACTGGGCTAAATGGCCAGCCCTGTAAATCTATTTTTAAAAGTGTCTAACAGTCTGAGACAAACTAATAAAAATGTAAGTGAAAAATAGCCTATGCCAGAGAAAAATACTTCCACAACTCTCCCAGCTTCCGTCCCTACTTTACCCTCTTACCTAGCTCCTCTGCTTGATAAGATGCACTAAGGGTTAACAAACACGCTAAAGAAGGAAGCCAACACCAGTCACTCCACTGAGGCATCACTGCCACCAAGACCTCAAGCATAGAGAACACTTGCTACCCCAGAGTTCAAAGGACAAACTACTCCTTGAGTAGGCCAAACAAAAGAATAATTTTATAATATTGAATGAAATTAAAAGCTATTGTGTATCCTCCTCTACCACATCAAACGGGCTGGTCAAAAATTGGACTTGAAAGAATGCTCCTTGGGCATATCTACACCCATCAGTGGCATCAGAAGCCCTACTAGACAGGCTTCTTCATCATCCCCCAGCAGGCAGAACTTTAGGAGCCTTTACAGTCAGGGGTACCCTGAGAATTCTGGGTTGTTTTTTTTTTTAAAAAACAGTAAGGGGATCTTAACCCTTGACTTGGTATTGTCAGCACCACGCTCTCCCAAGTGAGCTAACCCTATACAGGGATCCGAACCCGTGGCCTTGGTGTTATCAGCACCGCACTCTCCCGAGTGAGCCACGGGCCATTCCTAGAATTCTGCTTTTTTTTAAAGGTCCCACTCTTTTCTGACTTTAAACAATTCCAAATTAAAAGAGATGGCCCTTATTCCTGTACCCCCAGCTTTAAATAGTGCCAAAATGCAGTCATAATACAGCTTAGTCCAGGAGTTCCTTCCCCCAGGATGACATATGGTCCACCAAAGTAAATTTAATAAAGTAAAATTTTAAAAATTAACTATGATTCTGAAATGGAAGAAAACCAGAGGATCAGACACTAATGACTCAAAAGTGAAGAGTTCAGGGCTGGCCCGGTGGTGCACTGGAGAGTGCGCCACTTGGGAGTGTGGCAGCGCTCCCGCCAAGGGTTCGGATCCCATGTGGAGACCGGTTCCCGCTCACTGGCTGAGCATGGTGCGGGCGCAACACTGAGGGTTGCGATCCCATTGCCGGTCCCTGGTACGGGCGCGACACTGAGGGTTGCGATCCCATTACCGGTCAGTAAAAAAAGACAAAAAGGAAAAAAAAAAAAAGTGAAGAGTTCAGTTTTCTTTGGAAAGAGTCTCCCTTTACATCTAGACTGTTGTTGAGGCCCTTTTCTCTTCAAGAAACAACCCTGGAATCACTGGATGGGCCACTAGTACCAGGTGAATTTTATAAGGCTGTGTGAGAGAGAAGCCCCTCTAAGGGAAATCACTAGAGCAGTGGTTAGAAACTATCTGTTGGCCCAACACATGTGACCAGGACACATTCCCCTCAATAATGACAGCTCTCAACAGTGGGATTTGTTGTAGTGGGAATGGGGCTGAAGTTTTTACAAAGTTGTGATAGATACCACAAGAGTTCAGAAATTACTGCTCTGCACACCTATCACTCTGAAAAATTAAAGCTAATACTTGAAATTGTTCTTAACTATGTAGTGAACACCTTAAATAATAGCTGTTAACTGAAGAGGACACTTCAAACGAGTGTATAAGTGACTTTTCAAATAAATGGGGGAAAGGTGTTAGCCATATGGAGAAATGAAGGTGAATCCATACCTCACATCTTACACAATTCTTAGATACCCCAGATGGATCTAAGAATTAAATGATGGAGGTGAGGGAGAATCTTAAAGTACTAAAATAACATACAGGAGAATTTTTTTTATAATCTTGGAGTGGGAAAGTCAAGGTATGTCACAAGACACAGAAGTCATAAAAGAGTGACAAATTCAGTGACACAAAATTTACAAATTCTGTATGATAAAAGAAAGAACACGCCAAAAAAAAAAAAAAAAAAAACCTGGGAAAAATATTTCCAACTCATACCACAGAGGGATTTCTCTCTAATAAAGAGCTCCTATAAGTCAGAAAAAAATAAAAAATAAGGATACTTGCAGGAAATCAAAGTGTATGAATAATTGGTTCATAAAAAAAGGAAAGACAAGTAGCTCCTAAACATATAAAATAATCAATCTCACTTACAACAAGAGAAACAAATTAAAATTACAATAGGATACTATTTCCCGTCAGATTGGCAAAGATCAAAAAGTTTCATTAAGGAGTATGCTGGTCATGGAGTGGGGAAACAGGAACTTTTACACATTGACAGAATGCAGACTCATTTAATCTCCAAAGAGAGCAATTTTGCAATATCTTTCAAAATTTTAAGTACACAAATCAGTTTACCTAGGAAATCTATTGCCAGGCATTTGTCTCGCAGATATTCTTGCACATGTGTGAAATGATGTGTAGAAGAATATCCAGTGCAGCATGATC